CAGCACCCTTTGCTGAAGAGGCAGTCCCGACCCCAGTGAATAGGCTTGGTGCCGAAGATCAAATGGCAGTAAGTGCGTGGGTTGATTTCTGGGTGCTCTATTCTATTCCATTGATCAGTGTGTCTGTTTTTATACCAGTACCATGCTGTTTTGGTTATTATAGCTTTGTAGTTACCCTTTTTTTCTTTCTCTTTTTTTGTTGTGAGAACACTCGAGATCTACCCTCTTAGCAAATTTCAAGTACTGTATGCTATAAGGTATTGTTAACCACAGTCACCATGCTGTACGTTAGATCTTCAGAACTTACTCATCTTATAACAGAAGTTTATTGTATCCTTTCACCAAAATCTCCCAATTTTCCCCACCCTCAGCCTCTGGCAACCATCATTCTACAAAGGTTTTTTAATAACTTTTTACAGGTAGATTGTACAGGGATCAGAATTTTACTGTGTTTTAGTGTTGCTTTCTAAGTAATGGGTTTCTCTAAGTTATAGACTATCTTAGTCCATTTAGGCTGCTATAACAAAATACAAACTGGGTAACATATAAACAACGAAGATTTCCTTCTCACAGTCTGGAGATTGGAAAGTCCAGGATCAAGACACCCACAGATTTGGTGTCTGAGTCCTGTTCCTCAGTGGTGCGCCTTCTTGCCGCATCCTCACATGGCAGAGCCCTCATGACCTAATCCCCTCCCAAAGGCTCCACCTCCTGATACCGTCACCTGGGGGTTAGGATTTAACACATGGATTTGGGCAAGGGTAAGACAAACATTCATGTAGCATAGGCTAATACCTTTAATCAATCTACAGAAAAATTAACTAGTCAAATGCACAAAGCAAACTCAACGCAGCTCGATGTCTGTACATATCTTAGTAGGCGCCTGGGTTTAAATGTATAACATGCTCCTTTAAAACTGTTTCAGTGAAAGGCCATGAGCTTTCAGAGTTTAGTGGCTTTGGAGAAAGTACTGATTGCTTCCTTTGTTACAGAGACAGTCTTTCTCATCAGGTACTCAAGGGTGGGGAGAAGGGTGGAGAGGATGTAATGAGTTTCTAATTGCCTGTTCTCTTCCATTTGTGGTCTGTCAAGGTGTGAACAAACGTGTGACATGTGTGGTGTGTCTCGGGGCAGTGAGGGGCCACCGAGCCCTGTGCTCTCTGTCCAGTCCTCCATCCCTCACTGGAATGACCAGGGCTTGGGACCTCCTGCCTGTGCTATTACAACTGCCTCCAGTCACCGGTCGAGACCAACCCGATTAGCTCCCTCCTCTGGTGCCCAAGGAGTAAGTCCAGACACTTCAGTTTGGCACAAAGGCATTTCACAGTCTGGCCACTCCCAACCCCCTTTAGGCCCTCCTGGGCATGCCCGATGCCGTAAGCACAAGCACATCGAACTTCTCCCCAAGGAAGCCAGACATTTGCTGATGCTGTGCCTTTTGAGTGCGCCCTTGCCTGGGTCCCCTGCCCGCTTCTCTGCCCAGGGGGTCTTACTTGTACTTCATGGTCCACTTCCCTCCTTCAGCGGTGCCCTCGCCACCCCAAATCACAGTTGCTCGGTTTAGCTTTCTGTGGATTCTGTGTGCACAGGCTGGCACGGGTGGAATCCTGGTTTATTCATGGTGCCGCCTGCAGTCTCTGACACTGCGCTCTATTCTCCATTGCTGTTCTAGCAGTTTGGTTTTCCATGTAGCTTTCCTACGTGAGAGAATCTACAGACCAGTGATCCTCCGTATTTAGCCTTCTTGGCTGTCTTGTCCATTATTCATAACATAAACTAGTGTTTGAATTTGTCAGTCCTCTGTGAGTTTGGTGGCTGTGAGTCAGATCTCTCCATCTTGAACGGCCTCTGAGGAGTGATAAAATTGTGTTTGTGGCGTCAAGGCTGAGGACCAGACTGTGAATGCCTTCCTCTGGTTGTCCGTGATTTAAAAGAACATGCAGCAGTGATAACATCTGTGTAAGGTATTTGCACATGGAGCTGCAATGTGAAAGTTTCAGAGTGGTGCTGCCCCTGACATGAAGGTGAAGAGGTGTCTGATGGGTGGAGTTGAGGAGCGGGGCCAAGGTGGGCTTAGAGCCCCTTGACATGGCCTTTCTTCTCCTTGTCTGTGAAATAGATGTCCCCCTTCTGCTGGGCCTGAGCATGGCATCCCCGCAGGTTCTGTACACAGGTCTTTCTTTCTGTAAGAGATCAAAGGAATTTGTTGGTGGTCCACTGCTGAGCTGGGAACTAAGATGTTTCTGCTGTGTGGGGACTGAGAGCGGTACAGGAAGAACTCAGCCTGTGAGCTGCAGCTAGAGACTCGGTGGTGCCATTTAATTCAGCAAACACCTGTTGAGCTCCTTCTCTGTGCCAGGAATTATGGAAGGTGCTGGAGGAGCAGAGAGAAGCAAGGTTTGGCCTCTGCCCTGGATGAACACAGCCTACTGGGGGTGGTAAAAAACAAAAACAGTTCTGATGCAGTGTGCGCGGTGGGAGGAGAGGGAGTGTGTCCCAGAGGCTCTCTTCCTTCCGTCCTTCTTACCACCCGGCCCACTCACTGCCTAGTGGGCTGCCCCAAATCCCTCAGGATGCCGATCCTCTCTGCCACCCCTGCCAGGTGATCAGACAAATGTTGGCTACCTGAGCTCAGGTGGGCCAGCCAGAATCTCTCCAGGAATTTGGAGCAGAGATGCCGTGCAGGCTGTGGAAATGTGGATATTCACGTTGTCTCTGCAGGTGGGGCCAAGGGAGGTGGTGTGCAGAGAGAGATAGAATGAGGCCGGGTGAAAACCCAGGCAGACCCCAGGAGAGAAGGTCCCGAGGGCAGCTGTGTCCACTCCCTTCCCAGGATGCCGGCCTGCTGCCCGCGCCCTGTTTCCCTACGGGTCCCTAGTATCCTCACAGATTGCCATCTTCCTCTAAGCGAATTTGAATGTGTTTTTGTCCCATTTGATGAAATGTTCCTTCAGAAAAGAAGGTGCAGGAAAAAGGCAGCACTCCCCAGCTGAGCCTTGAGGGGTGAGTGGAGTATCCCCAGGCAGACACTGGCACCTTTCTTATTCTGACATGAGGGTACTTTGCATTTAGGAGATGCTTTGCTGCCTGTTCAGAGATTGACATGAGAAATTTGGTGTCTTCTAAATTTTCTGAAAACTTTAATTTTAATTTTATATTAAGTTTTCCCTGCTGAGCTGTGAGGAAAAAGGAAAGCGATTTGTTTCTTGTTGGTTTTTGTCCACAGATTGGCCTTAGGAGGACAGAGCTGCATATTGCTGAAGGCCCAGAACTGACAGGGAGAAGGTAAGAGAAAACCAAGGGTGGCTAACAACTAGAGCAGAGACATTGGGAAACCTCTTGGTAATCAGGCACCTTTTGCTGGAGTTTTTACTTCACAAATGTTCAAATTCTTGAAAAAAACTGGGCTTAATGGGGAAGAAGTTCCCAAGGTCGCTCCTGAGACACCTGGACCTCCTGTTCTTTTTAGCTAAAACCTAGAACGCACACTTGGTGTGTTCATGTCCCCACCAGTACTGCTTTGACCACAGCTCATGCATCTTGACACGTGGGATTTATTTTTTCATTGAAAATATTGTTTTAACATCCTAGATATATGCTTACCTGTTATTGGAAGAATAGATTTAATATTCCCAGTGTTTAGGGTTTTTTGGTCATAGTTTTGTTATTTATAATTACATTTTGTTTGAGAAGTCTTAATGCATACAAGTGATTATTTTCTGTGTTTACTTTCCTCATGGCCTCCTGTTTGATTGCTTATGACAAAAGGCCCATGTGCACTTCCAAAAAAGTTATTTCAGGAACTCCCAATTTAGGATGTTTTAACATGAAATCTCAGTTTTCAATGTTTTTTCTTATGAGAAAAAGTGTTTGGGTCATTTCTTTTGGAGTCTTGTAATTATGACTATTCAGGATCTGCAAGCAGTGTAAGTACTCAGATACCAGGCCTAGTTGTTGGCATGTCCGGCCAGCTGGCCTACGTGGCAGGGACCATGCTAGTTCATGGATGTCACAGAACAAAGGGTCGTGGCGAGAGGCAGCACGCCACTCCCTCATGGTTAGCATCTGCAAACTCTGAGTGCATTCTCATGCATAATGTAGAAGAAAGAATGTGTTTGAGACAGATGATCCCAACTTTGAACGTATTTCAGAGGCTTTGGGAGCAGCAAAGGGTGTTGTTGCCTGCTACTCAGAAGATTGATTAGTAAAAGAAAAACATCTTCAGTCCAAACTTCATTGAACTTGGTATCTCATATTTTAGAGGATCTCAGCCAGCCTGGTCCATGAAGAAAAATTACCCCAAGGGACTAATTTATTAAAATATTTTAATTTTTTAAAATATTAAGTATTTGGTTTATGTGCTTAAGTAAAGTTTATAATGTTTTGTTTTCATGATCAGCTTTGGCATTCTTATTGTAGGAGGTGAGTGTCTATGAACCAGAACCCCAGTATATAGCATTTTACTCATAGGAAATAAAGTGGCCCAGCTTTTTATTTGAGAAAAACATTTTTTAATTTATGTTATGCCACATCGGCTTTATTAGTAATATGGTAACAATATGAGACTTACTGTTTGAGAGATTGTGTCCTTATTTGTGGGGCTGTAGGAATCCTATGGTCTATCCATTTCTTCAGTGTTCTGTCATTTTTTTGTGTGTGTTTTGTTGGTTTATAATTTGGACTACACATTCACGCACGCACGCACACACACACACACACATATATACACACATATTTAGTCAACAGTTTTTCATTATTTTGTCTGCCTTATATCACAATATGGTGTCAGTCTTGTATGTGTTACATTTCAGTGGTTAATTTGGTTTCTCCTGCTTAGTTTGTATTTTAATCTGCAAAACTTGGTTGAGCTCAGATTACATTGCAATGGAGTGGGAGGGAATTCACTCATTCTTCCTTAAGCTTATGCCAATTTTTGTTGCTATTGTTGGGTATTTTTTTAGTTTCACAACTTTTTGTTCCCTATTTTAATGGGATTTCTCTAAGAGGGGCCACTCCCAGAAGTTTTCTATTTCTTTTCTTTCTTGGCTTAAAATCTACTTTCTTATGTGTAATATAAGCTGCTTCCTTGTGTTTTGTGTATATCTGAGCTCCCTGTGGTTTAATTTTCAGTCTTTTCTGGTCTTTTTGACCTTTGTCTCTCACAGACAGCACACAGTTGCATCAGACCTCAGTGGTCCCCTGGTCTGGTCTAGGAGGAGGTTCAGTTCCCTTAGCCATGTTGCCAGGGCCCCTTGTACCTGACCTGTGTCTACCTCTGTGGGGTTGTTGCTGCTTGCAGGCACACGTACATCAGATCATGTGACATTTTAAACTTTTTTGTTAAATGTCTGCCTCTTCACCTGAGCACAATTACTGAGTCCATCTTTGAGTCCTTAGCTTCTGTCACAGTGTATGGAAACTGAAGGTGCTTAGTAAAACTCTTAGTAGAGTTGTGTTGGACTTTTCTTATCTCAAACCTAGGGGGCCAGGCAAAGATAATGGGGTACAAATTAAGTTCGTGAGGTGAAGGAGTGCTCACTTTACTTTCACTGAGAAAACCATTTCTTCAAGTTTGGGTGGTGTCTCTTTTTTTAAAATATGCATTTTTAATTTATGTTAAAGTTTTTGAAGTCTTAGTTTTGTCTCTAGTGGATTGTAACCTCCTTGAGGCTGAGACTATGTCTTGATACTACCTCTGTTTCATCTACTTTGTCTCTGCATGGGTAGTAGGTCATCTGCACTTGCTGATTATGAACAAAGCAAAGAAATAAATGTATCTCTTGGATTTTATATGAATTAAAAAGTGTCTGTCATTCTGTTAGACTAGGAGATTCTCAGGGCACAGAACATACTGTGTTTATCTCCGTATCAACAACATGTAGCACAGTACCTCAATTTTAGTAGGAATTTAGTAACTTTTGGTAGGTGTCTTGATTAATCTCCTGGGAAGAAAAGAACTTTGTAAGATACAGGTTTTAAATAATGAGATTGTAAATGGACGGGCTCCATGGGCCACATGCATTTGAAAAGTTACTGTTAGTTCAATGCAGAGTTGTCACATATGATGTCCTGAGACGGGTGTCTTCACTCAAACCATGCATGTTCCTTTAACTTATTAAGTAAAGAGCATCTCTTTCTTTTCCCTTCCCTGCAGGTTGCCATGGCTGCTGTTGATAGCTTCTACCTCTTGTACAGGGAAATTGCCAGGTCTTGTAATTGCTATATGGAAGCGCTAGCTTTGGTTGGAGCCTGGTATACGGCCAGAAAAAGCATCACCGTCATCTGTGACTTTTACAGCCTGATCAGGCTGCATTTTATCCCTCGTCTGGGAAGCAGAGCAGACCTGATCAAGCAGTATGGAAGATGGGCTGTCATCAGTGGTAACCTAATTTAAAATCAAAATAATTTCTTCTGTTTAAGTCATATTTTAAGCTGGATATGTTATTCAAGGAGCCATTGAATTTAATGTGATGTTTTCATGGCAACGTGATGATAAAAAATAACACTTGACTCCTGTTCTGATTACGTTCACATTTGCTTACTGCCCTCATCTTAGGAAGAACTTGCCTCGTGATTTCTATCCTCCTTATTCTGCCCTCCTTCCCAGACCTCCAGCTACTTTCCTACCCCTCACTTTTCCTTTTTGCTCTCTGGTTGGAAATTGTCCTTAGAAACGGTCACCGCTTTCAGAAATGCTTCACCTATTTTGAATTTCATTTTAATTTATTGATTTAGTTTCCCAGAAAAGCACCTCCTGGCACTCATTCAAGCCAGATAGAAGTTTGAAAATACATTCCTCCTGTGTCTCATAATCAACTTGGTGAATGTAAAAGGACTCCCAGACGTCAGGGCGTCTGGGAGAGAATCTAGTATGCACCATTCACACTTTTGATTCAGTGTTGTCCTTGATAAATACTAGAGCTCACTTTGTTTCTATCATGAATTTTTCTCTGATTAAAGCTGGCAGTGGCATATTTAATTTAAGTCCATTTTCAAAGTTATACCGTGAAATGAGTGTGCTCACTTTTCCTGGCTTACATCGTAGGTGCAACAGATGGAATTGGAAAAGCCTATGCTGAAGAGTTAGCAAGTCGAGGTCTCAATGTTATCCTGATTAGTCGGAACCAAGAGAAATTGCAGATTGTTGCTAAGGATATAGCTGACACCTACAAAGTGGAAACTGATATTATAGTTGCGGACTTCAGCAGTGGCCGTGAGATCTATGTTCCAATTCAAGAGGCCCTGAAAGACAAAGACATTGGCATCTTGGTAAATAATGTGGGCGTGTTTTATCCCTACCCCCAGTATTTTACTCAGGTCTCCGAGGACAAACTCTGGGACATCATAAATGTGAACATTGCTGCTGCTAGTTTGATGGTCCATATAGTGTTGCCAGGAATGGTGGAGAGAAAGAAAGGTGCCATCGTCACTATCTCTTCCGGCTCCTGCTGCAAACCCACTCCCCAGCTGGCTGCATTTTCTGCTTCTAAGGTCAGATATTACTTACTGGACAATTAAATTCTAATGCAATAGAACATTTGTTACAGTTGTTTGGTCAGATTTGTTAAGGTCGTTGTCAGCACCCATGTTTGCTTGTGCTATATTTTTTTCTGAAATGACAATAATTAGCAAGTCTTTTTTTTCTCCTGACTTTTCTTTTAAATTCCCTCATAATTAACAGTCTTTTTCTCCTTTCTGTTTTAACAGGCTTATTTAGACCACTTCAGCAGAGCACTGCAGTATGAATATGCTTCCAAAGGAATCTTTGTACAGAGTCTAATCCCATTCTATGTAGCTACTAACATGACTGCACCTAGCAGCTTTCTGCACAAATGCCCATGGTTGGTGCCTTCACCAAAAGTATATGCACATCATGCTGTTTCTACCCTTGGAATTTCAAAAAGGACTACAGGATACTGGTCCCATTCTATTCAGGTAGCCCTGTCCTTTCAGTTCTCGTAATTAGGTTAATGCATCCTAAACCTTTCTAAATGATACATAGGAATTTGATTGAATCCTAATGAGGAAAAATGAGAATTGTCTATTCTGCTTCTTAAACCTGACACTCTTAATGATTTTGGTTAAGACACTAAATTCTCTTTTGTGAGATTATTAAGAATTTCCAAAAGTTCAACCTCCGTGAGACTAAAAGATGAAATGTGCTGCTTTAATATAAGTGGATAGTAGGAGTATGAAAATACTAAGTATTTATATGGGAATTTCAGAGTAAAAAAAATTCTAGTAATGCTTGAAGAAAGGGTACCTCTAAGCGAACAGTGTAATTGAAAAAAACATAAAACCAAAAAAAAAAAAATAGGTCTATATTTCATGTAACCATTATGTCAGATATTATCTCAGTATATTCTTGGACTGATTTATTCAAGAAGCATACAATTTTTTTTCATGTTTGTTGTTCAGGCATGACAAAGATTTGGGTCTTTTAGTATTTAAAAAAGTAACTTAGGGCCGAGCCCGTGGCGCTCCCGCCGCGGGTTCGGATCCTATATAGGAATGGCCGGTGCACTCACTGGCTGAGCGCGGTGTGGGCAACACCACGCCAAGGGTTGCGATCCCCTTACCGGTCACGAAAAAGACAAAAAAAAAAAAAAAGTAACTTAAATATTTGAAATTGTGATACTAAGTATTAGTGAGAGAACTCAATGATTTATAATAATTTGTGTTTTTTTAATCTGGTATAGTAAATAGACGTGCCATAGTTTAGATTTTTTTTTTTTTTAATATTTGGAGTTTTCTTGATTATCAAACATATTTTTGGGACTGTTTGCACAAAGATTATTAGATTTACCTCTACTAAATAAACAGATAAGTAAATCAACAGTTAGTTTTTACTTTTATCGAAAGATTTGGCTAAAGATTGTTTTAATAAGAAGCAGTTTTATTTAAATGGTTGTTTCCAGGTCCTTACTTGAGAAACATAAAAAGTAGTCTTAGAGGCCACTGACCACAAAGTTCGCTTAGAAATAAAGCTATAACGAAGGTGGAGCTTAGATGCAGTAGATATTCCGAGTGTGTTTATAAGACAACATTTTCATCGCAATTAAACTTTATTCACTTTGAACTTTTCTGGAGAATGTGTTTTTCTGCCAAGAAATGCTGTTAAGCTGATTTAATCTCTAGAGTAGTTTTTGTACAAAGCTATTAAAACTTTGTATCTTTTTCTATTTTCATTTTTATTTTACTCAAATTGTTTTCAAATTATCAATTTTTTTACATTTACAACAAAGATTTGATTCTTCAATGGCTTTTTTTCCATAGCAGATTTCTCTAATAGTTCTTGCTACCATGACTTTTCCTTTGCAGTTATTATTTCTTCTGAATGTAATTTGCCCAGGTTGCAAAGATCTAAATTTTATCAAGATTTCAATCCTCTATCAATCTTCAGCCTGTGAAAAAGAAGTTTGATATGTCAGACGTATGAGTTTTATTTTGTTCTGTTTGTTCCAGTTAGTCTTCTACATTGTGAGTTAAATAAGAATGATATTGTGTATTTATTTCTTGGCAAGAAATGGTAATAGATTGAATTGAGGGGGTTGAAAGAAAGGAAGAATAAACGCATTCTCAGGTTTACAGCTTCCGAAAGTCAGTGGTGCCATTTACTCAGACAGCATAAGAAGAGGAGATCAGAGAAATAATCATAGTTGTACACAGGCTGGCTTTGGAGATCCTGGGAAACATCTCAGAGAAGTGGAGTTGGCAGCTGCCTAGATGAGAGCTCAGGTGTGAGTTTTGCAGGTTGTCAACATTTAGCTGGGGAACAGTGGTGGGAGTGGGTGATGTCATCCAAGGAGGGCATGTAGAGATGAAAAGAGAGTTTGGCGAAGAGTCTCAAGGATTCCAGCATCCCAGGGAAAGGTGGAGGAAGGAGATCCAGCACAGGAGACCCAGCAAGGGCGGCTGGAAGAATTATAGGGAAGCAGCAGAGTGCGGGACCCAGACGCCAAGGGGAGAGTTGGTTTAGAGGTAAAGGAAACAGTCACCAATGTCAGGTGATGCCTACTGTCACATAACATGAGGACCAGAATGTGGATGTGGGGCTTAGTATCTTGGGACTCTTTGGTGACCTTGATGAAAGCAGTTTTGGAAACATTTTAGGGAGAAGCCAGGTTGCAGTGAGTTGACGATACCCAACCAGGTTCTCCACTTAGCTTCCATTAGCTCTTTCCATCAAGCTCTTTCTGTCCCGCTGCCCAGGGTGCCAAAACCACATTAAATGAGCCAGAAGTGGTGTGCCGGTTAAGTCTGCACCCACGTGAGGCCAACTCTCGCAATGCGATGAGAGACAGAGAGGGTCTAGGGAAGGCTTGCTGTTTGCTTGTTGGCTGTACTTCAGTGATGGAGGGAAAAAGCATGTAGAGAAGAAAAGCTGAAAGACAGGAGAAAAAGGCATTGTCCCTAAGGAATGGCAAGGGGATAGGACCCTGAACACCAGGAAGGGAAATGGTTTGGACTTCAGGAACAGCTAGAAACTGCTGGAAGCCCACTTGGAAGCTGAGGGATTTGTGTCTGCTGGAGGGTCTGCTCAGAGTGGGGTGAGCTGGAAGGGCTGGAGGCTTGCAGAGAGTGAGGGGGTGGAAGTAATAATTGTGACACAGAGAGAGTGACACGCCTGGGGCACCTGACCATATGGCTGAGGCTGGAGTCTGCTCAGTCCATGCGGCTTTCCTCCAGCAGCACTCAGCATATTTCATATCTAGGTATTACCATCTTGAAGCCCCTTCAAGGATAGCCTCTGAAGTAATTTCACAACTTTTCACTGGGGACATAATGTGTCACATGATCATTTCTAAGATTGGATAAAAATAGGCTCTTTTTGATCAGCCTGCAGAGGTAAGGAAAAAGGTGTCCTCACCCTTTGCCCGGTCCTCAGACTTCCTTACAAATGAGCTTAGTCAGCAAGTCTGTAAAACAGCATTTCTAAACAGGAGCAGTACTAGAGCTACTCAGCACTGTGACGTTTTTACTCTCAGGCACCCTGGGTATAATGTAACAATTTTACCTTGTGTGTGTTAAGCTAGCATCTTAATAAAGATTTGCAAGCTAAAAGTAAAAAAATGTTTTGGACTTACAAAGCAAGTAGAAAGGAGCTCAAATGTGTTTGCTTTCATTGTTAACTGGTTATCAATATTGATTTGAGATCAGTTCATCTCATTTTCAGAAGTGGCATTAGGCAATATTGACTTGTCAGCTTCAGAACATGTAGTAAGGCCAGAAATGTTCTGGTATATGATCGAAAGGCAGATACCTTCACAGCTTGACCAGTAAATCTCTTGCCTAAAAAACGGTGCTGTGCTGCGTATAATAGGAATTGTTAGAGACAGCTCTAGGGAAGGGGAGAACAGGAGAATCTGAGCTTTCTGGATTGGGTTGCAGCCTGTTCTGAATTGGTACCTACTTTTGGTGTTTTTGTTCACAGTTACGATGTGTGCATATGTGAGTGTGTGTGTGCATTGCGCACTGCTGTAAGAAAAACAAAAGGTGGCGTTTCAGAGAGAGTGGAGCTGGGTGGGAAGAGAAGGCTGTGGGTGGAGGAGTGGGCGAGGGTGCAGGGGAGCTGATGCGGGACTCTGTCCAAGGTGAAGGCGCTCCTTCCCCAGCTTGGGTTCCCAATCCAGCTGGAAAGGGAATGTTAATTACACGCCTTCACAGAAGCTCCATTTATACCTCTGGAATAACTCCAGTTGAAGGATCCTAGCTTGTGTTATTTAGAATCTTTTCCATCTTTTCCATTCCCAGTTATTCTTTACATCTCTAAGTCCACTGTCTCTGTCTCTGGGGAATGTGTGACATTTGCATTTTCATTGCTAATGCAATTTCCAACAAGTGAACATGTACGTTTACTATTGACCTTCTTCTCTAAGTCTTAACTGAGCAGTGGTCACTTCAGGGGCTGCACCGCATCAAGAGTTGTGGGTTTTTGTTGTGGAGGAGCAGCAGCTGCTTTCTCAGGCCTAGACAGATTGCTCAGGACCCCTCTATGTGGACAAAGCCTTCAAGAACCTAAAATCCATGCTCTCGTACCTCCCCCGCCAACTTCCCCTCTTCAGTTTGGGTACTCTCTCCCACGGTTCCTAGTACTGAGAGACTTGGCATTCCTCTCTGGTAACTGTTTTATCTAAACGGATCAATGAGTCAGCCCCGTTAGTTTATCTATCAATACCCAGAGGATCAAGTTCTCTCCTCCTCTTCCATTAGCTCTTTCCACCAAGCTCCTTCTGTCCTGCTACGCAGGGTGCCAAAACCACATTGGAATGAGCCAGAAATGGTGTGCCGGTGAAGCCTCCACACACAGCTCCATAGGGAAGCTGCGGAATATACTTTGATGCTGCTCCCCCGAAACAGACAGTGGTTATGAATGGAAATTAAGAATCAAACAAGTTTTTGGATGCTGATCACTTCCCCAGTAAATAAACACTGAAAAATGCATAAAGAATATCACTTTGAAGGAGGTTCTGATGATCTAGCTGTCTCAGATGCCTACATGTTTCAGTGTGACCCTACTTATGGGGTCCTCCTAAGAGAACATAAGATGACTCCTTTTATCTCCTCGGATTTAGAACACTTTGCTTTAAGGTACAGGCTCCAAGGAGGAGTATCTAGGCAATTCCCCACAAAATCCTGGCTTTTTAAAGAAGTCCAAAGAGACCTTAGTTATTTACCCCTGAACATTACCCATGGCGCCAGGCCCAGTACTGGGCTCCTGTCTCCTGTCAGTACTTGCCAGGGGCCTGTTCATCTCTCTTCCTTAATATACAAGGTGTAGAACTTTCATGGGAAAATCTGTCAGAGTAGCACGGGGTTTCTCCACCTCAGCATTAATGGCATTTGGGGCAGATAATCCCTAGTTGTAGGGAGCTGTCCTGTGCGTCACAAGATGCTGAGCAGCATCCCTGGCCTCCACCTACTAGATATCTGTAGCATCCACCCTCAGTGTGACAACCAATAATGTTTTCAGACATTGCCATATGTCGCCTGGGGACACAAAGGCCTTGGTTGAGACCCTTGGTCTCCTCCCCTGGTTCCCTGAGCCCTCATCACATCTCAAGATGCTGTCCCAAGGTCAGTGTTTTAAACTCAGTTCTCTTGTTTAACTTCACTCCATCCTGCCCCTCAAACCCCAGTTTTCTTATATAGTACTAACCACGTGTGCATCTACCTATCCACCTGACTTTTATTCCCATAATGATTTTTTGATTCTTAACCAGTGAACATGCTACTGATATCACATTAAGTGAAGATGGAATCGTATTACTACATGCAGGTCTGTCCAACCTCATTAGAGAAAGAGGGGAGGGTGGATGGTGATCATGTTTCTATTCCCCGTAGAATCTAGGGTAGAATCTTAAACAAAAATAGGCGCTCAATACGGTAGCACCTAAGGGCTTTTTCTTTTGCTGTAATTAATGTTATTGGTGGATACTTGTTAGATAAGTCATGTGCTGATCTGTGCATCTGTTCCTTCGGTGTTGGTTGTTTAGGGTTTTAACCATTTAACCTTCTTCTCTTTCATTTTTAGTTTCTTTTTGCACAGTATATGCCTGAATGGCTCTGGGTGTGGGGAGCAAACATTCTCAACCGTTCCTTGCGTAAGGAGGCCTTATCCTGCAAAGCCTGAATCTGGACGCCTATGTGAGAAGTTTTGCCAACTCACAGGGACCTGCGGTATTATGATGTTGGAAAAACACATTTAATGGATCGTATGCATTTTCTTTTGTTACTGATCATTTCGCATACCGTTGATTAATCATTTGCAAAGCAAACACAACGCTTTCAGAGAGTGCTGTGAGAAACTCAAAGGTCATGTGAGTGGCACAGGGTGAATAATGATGAGCCGCAGGAACTGACTGAAGAAACCTACGTTTCAGTGCTTCATTCCCTAAGCTGTTCAAATGTTGTATGATTTATGTTGTTCTAGGAGCCATGGCAGGCTAATATTGAAATACAATGTGACTTGTCAGCTGTTATAATTTCAGGTATTGTTTTTAAGGGACATTACCTGTTTCACTAGATGAATTATACTTTTGGTTTTCAAATGTTCATCAGGAAAGACTATTGAAAAGTGTTATTTTATCACTAAGATTGCTGGTGACATTAGCAGTAAAAATCTGTGTGTATTATATTGCTTAGCTCTAGTGTTTATGTATGAAAATGCTGCTCTTCAACTGAGATTTCATTCGATAACCACATGTGTGTGTTCGTTGGGTGTGTATGAACAACTTTATTTATGGTTAAGTACTTTAAAAAAGATTTCTTGGCAAGATGACTTAATCATGGAACCTATGGGATATTACAAATCTAGATTATTCCTTTTCATACTAAACGAGTTTACTCAATTTTGTTGTATACGTTTGCCATGTATAATATTACTTCCTAAATTATGTTTTTCTTTGTTTTTTTCCAAATCTACTATGGAATGAATTCATTCCTAGATTTGGATATGTAATGGGTAACCTTCAGTCATCTTTTGATTTACGAGATAATTGTTACATATAATTAGTGATTTCTCAGCCTGTGACCCATTTTATAACAAATTTAGCCCTTTAGAGCTTGTTATATCTGGTTTTCATACACTTTTCTATGTAATATTCCATTCCAGTTGCAATATTATATAAACATCAAGTATTTATGGAATAGTAGTTAAAATATGGACAAATTTCATGTTGTATCTGTCAGAATAAGTTAGAAGCTTATTCTTGGTTTGTGTAATGAATTCGTGTATTAGAGTGAATCCTTTTATTGGTGCGAAGATAATTATGCACCAACCTCCATGGTGTGGGTTAGCATTGAAACCTACTGTGAAATGTCTTTAGTTCAGGTCTTATAAAGCCAACCATTTTGAGTACCACATACCTAGTGCTTTGAAAACCGTCAGTCACTAAATGAATATGACAGTATGTGTGTATTTAAAATTCAGAGCTTAATATTGTGACACTGATGCAGAAGCTACTGAATGGGTTGAAAATCAGGACTTCCATGGAATTGTTTTCTTATGAGGTGGTATTCCATTAGAAGTGGGCATAAGCACACTTTTACATTATGCACAGACTTTTGCCCATGACATTGCTTACAGTGTTTCCTGTGACTTGGACTCAGCTCTTCAGAGGTTAAGTTCAGAAGCTTTCCTACTCCTAGATCATGTCTTCCAAATCTAAGATGTGGAAAACTACACACTTGGAGATACTCTGTCACAACAAAGAAGGTTCTGATGGTGTTAACTTGGAATCCTCTTGACTTCATGCCATGTTGATGTGACCTTTGATTGATGTGTAGTAAGCAGCAGCAATTCTATGTAAAGATATTGTCAGTTATTTATGAGGTTATGTGGTCCAGTAATGTCTTAGATTTATAAATTAGGTGTGGAATCATCATTACATGATGAGAATAAACAAACACACCTTGTTGATGATGTTTTAAAATCCCCTCCTTGGAGCCGGCCCGGTGGCACACTGGAGAGTGCGCCACTTGGGAGCGCGGCAGCGCTCCCGCCTAGGGTTCGGATCCCATGTGGAGACTGGTTCCCGCTCACTGGCTGAGCGTGGTGCGGGCGCAACACCGAGGGTTGCAATCCTGTTGCCGGTCAGTAAAAAAGACAAAAAAAGGAAAAAAAATAAAAATAAAAAATAAAATAAAATCCCCTCCTTGGCAGCACGTAGGTACATGCTAATTGTTGCAAATGTGACACAAAGTTGTCCATAGCTTCAGAGAAAGAGCAAGACCAAGAATTTCCTTAGGTTTTCTAGCTTTCTTAAAATCCTTTTTTCCCCCCAGAGCTCATTTGAGAGTTGACTGGACCCTGTGGATGGGGTTTCTAATTAAGAATGTGAGTAATATGAATCTTTAATCTGCAAATTGAAAATTTAACAATAAAAGCAGTTGCTTCTGTTTCCTTTGGAAGAGGTTTTGCTCCAAATGTTTGTAAGTTGGTTTCTTGGAATGAGAGATATTTTTTTTTCCTCCATGGAAATGATTATAAAAAATTAACCTGTGAACATCAGTGGTCATAACTCATTAAAAGCTGATACTTCAGTAACAAGTTTGTACATAATAATGTGCTTTGTAAATCTTTTGAAGGTACTAAGTTGATAAGTTGATTTCGTGATCTCAGTCTCCTGATAGGCTGAGAATTGATTGATGAAAATTGAACAATGAAGACTGATTTATCATTGAATTTGGCAGTATGGAGATCACTCATGATTTTGCCATAAGGTGTTTTAATCGAGCCATGGGGATGAAAGCAAGATTGTAGTGGGTTCAGAAACTCACGACAAAAAGAAAAAAAAGAAGAGAAAAGAAAAAGAAAAAAAGGGGGTGGTGGTGAAGAGAGCAAACAGAGGCAGCTCTTAGGTGTCTCTTGTTTTTTCCCCTAACCTCAATTACTTAAAATCTTGTCACATTTGGGAACCAGAGGGTTAAGTGGTGTGTCCTCAGTCTTGACATTCTGTGACCTCCAGAACCAATTCTGGTGCATCTGTTTTTGTTATCCGTTTTTTTTGAAGATTTACATATGTTTAAAGTGTATAAAGCCAAGGACAGTTCCGAGTTCAATAGAAATAATCTGTATAATTCCTATGGTGGGTTGAGAGGGACGGGGAAGAGGCTATGGATCCCACACCAGCATGTGTACAAAAATAACTTACACAGCAGCCTCCACCTGCAAGGATGGTATAGCTCTTCCCAGCCCCCAAGGCTGGGGGGCACACTACAGAAGCAGTGCCATGGGAATTCAGTGTAGGCCCCAGGTGCTGATGGGGGGGAGGAGGGGCACCAGTCCAGAGGGGAGGGAGGCCTATGAGCAGGCTTTGAGGTGATGATGGCTGAGTGTGAGCTCAGCTGTTTGTCCACTGTGGTGTGGGCACAGTGGAGCCAGCCATCCAGCTAGCACCTTGCATGAGCTGTACTCCTCCAGGAGCCTCAGGTGGTACGTACGGAAGTCCCAATTCTCGTTGATGTGGAGCATGGCTGCCATCCGTGGCACAGGATGAGTTTGGTGGGCCTGGAAGAAGTTGGCCTGCACAGCACCATTGCTGTGGTACAGGATGATGGCGCTGCAGGTGCTTAACCAGGTAAGCAGGTAGGGTGACTGTGCGAGCTCATTGCCTTCCCAGGGTATGATGTGGGTACCTGGCTTCGGCACATCTGTGTTCGTGTAATTGTGGAGCTACTTCAGGAGGGTGATCTTCGTCAAAGAGTTGGGAGGGGAACTCCCAGTAAGATGGGACTCAGTGCCATTGTGCTCCCTATCTGTGGTTCCATTTTCAACCACAGTCCAAAAATATTAAATGGAAAATTCCAGAAATAGTTCATAAATTTTAAGTTGCATGCTGTTCTGAGTAGTGTGATGAAATCTCTTTCTGTCCTGCTCCATTCTGCCTGGGATGTGAATCATTCCTTTGTCCAGTGTCTCCACACTGTAGATGCTACCCACCCACTGGTCACTTACTTAATAGCTGGCTGGGTGATCAGAGCAACTGTCACAGTATCGCTGTGCTTGTATTCAGGTCACCCTTAGTTTACTTAATAATGGCCCCAAAGCACAAGGTAGTCATGCTGGCCATTTGGATAGGCCAAAGAGAAACCATAAAGTGCTTCCTTTAAAAGGTGAAAATTCTCGATTTAATAAGGAAAAAAAAAATAGTATGCTGAGGTTGCTGAGCTCTGTGGTAAGAACGAATCTTGTATCTGTGAAATTGTGAAGAAGGAACAAGAACTTTGTGCTAGTTTAGTTGTTGCACCTCACACTGCAGAAGTTGCGGCTCCAGTGTGATCAGTGCGTAGTCAGGACGGAAAAGGCATTCAATTTGTGGTGGAAGACGAACAGACACATGTTCCAGTTGACGGCAACTGGGTACTGTCTGAGGCTTCAGGCATGCACTGGGGGTCTTGGAACACATCCCCTGCAGGTAAGGGGCACTACTGTACTGCAGGCTGTCACCATCATCATAGAGGATAAGGCGTGCCAAGTCACTGAAGAGCACTCCGTGCTGTTATCACACAGCTGATGCCTGAGGCAGTACTTGTCCCGATAGTCCATCCACTTGCCGACCCAGAAGATGGAGATGCGGACAGGACCCTCCACCTCCTCTTGCCTCACCACCCCTTGCTGTGAGGGCTTGAGGGTATTGACCCTGTGCAGCTGCTGCAGCATGTTGCCAAGATGGCACTGGACCCCTTCACCCTTCTCCCAAACCAATGGTTCCGCTTATCCGGGGGACACTCGGGCAGGGAGTTCTCCGTGCCTTTATTGAGCAGTGTGAGAGACTTTGGTTTCTGGGGTCCAGGCTGCTGGGAGCGAGGGAGAACCTCAGTGGAGTGGTGAGGCAGGTGATAGGGAGACAGGTAGGGATATAGCCAGAAGTAAAGAACTCATCATTGAACAGCTTGTTAACAGGTGTGCAGGCAGTGGATTTGTCCAAATTATCTTCTGGATGAGGGATTGATGTGCTTGGGAATACTGTATTCATTCTTCTTATCTGGAAGTAAGTCTCTTTTAGGCAAGAGGGCTTAAAAGGTCGTTTGCTCACTAACAAGGTATATGTGATGCACCCACTGGACCACATGCTCACCTTGAAACTGCCCTTTTCTGCTCAGCACTTTGAGAGCTGTATAATTAAGAGTTCCATGCAGGGTCTTCCTCTGCTTTCTGGTATATTGGACTTTGGTTGCTAGTCCAAAATCCCGTTTTCTCCTCCAGATCCTCATTCAGGAAAAGGTTGCCCAGATTGAGGTCCTGGTGCATAACCCTGATTTGGAGCAGGGCAGATAATAGTGTGCCTTGGGCTCACTCAGCGCTTTCCTTTTCTTAATGCATCTCCAGGAGACACCCGGAGTAGCAGAGCTCCAGTATCACCAACATGACCTTGTTGTCCTTGAAAACGCTGTGGAAGCCTTCGACGTGCTGGTGGGTGAGGCTACAGTGAATGGATATCTCCATGGACATCTTCTGGTGATTGAATAGCAGAGACTGAGGCATGATCTTTCCCTTGAACACCTCCTTGGTGTCTGCATCAGAGATTTCAAAGCTTTGACTAAGCTGCCCATGCCCCAAGAGGCCTCCACATAGTGCCACTGGCTGTGTGGGCCCACTAGGACCTCCAGGGTCTTTTTCACCAGTGGAGTAGCCACTGGGGCTCTGGGAACCACAACTCTGGGTTGGCCAGTGCCTGTGCCACCAACTGTTATTCTTTAAAATATCACTTAGTTTGAATAAAGATTTACCTTCCCATGGAACTGTGAGTGCTTTATTCAGTACATGAAGCTTGAGTTTAGGAAGTTATTTTAGAACCTGGACTTGTGGAAAACCACCTGTGATAAACAAGGATCCTGTCGGGCCGGCCCGGTGGCACACTGCTGCAGTGTGCCGCTTGGGAAGCGTGGCGGCGCTCCCGCCGAGGGTTTGGATCCCACATACAGACCGGCCGCTCACTGGCTGAGCGAGGTGCGGGAGCAACACCGAGGGTTGCGATCCCGTAGCCGGTCCCGGTCCGGTATGGGCGCGACACTGAGGGTTGCGATCCGTTGCCAGTCACGAAAAAAGACAAAAAAAGGAAAACAAAACAAAACAAGGATCCTGTAGCTCTCAGTCTTTCTTGTTAGATTTCCAAGTAACTTTTGTCTCCCCTTCACCAACCCCCTTTATTGGGGGGAGATTGCACAGAGGAATACAAGACAGGCATCAGTGTTGCAGTTTTACAGCTCTATTCGGTATTACAGTGCCTTTATGCTTGCAAGCAAGGAGAGCACTGGGAGTGAAGACTCCTAGACCAGTGTCTCCCTGAACTAAAGAGGCAGTCTTATTTAGCCAAAATTCCCACCCTAACTTACCGACTGAGTTCCCATTGAGGTCCTCTTATGTAAATGAGGGATGCAGTCCTGCTAATTTGTATTGGCTGATTATGGGACACAGTCCATTGGTCAGCTCTGGAGCCTAACTTGCATCCAGACCTTAGGGCTGTGTGAGACTGTTGTTGTCTCCTATTAGCACATGGATATAGGCGGGTGCATGAAGCAGCCAAGCTAAGTTGCAGGAGCCAGAGTTTGCTATTAGGAAAGTCAAGCATAAAATTTCTTTTTTTTTTTTTCCTTTTTGTCTTTTTTACTGACCAGTAACGGGATCGCAACCCTCGGTGTCGCACCCGTACCGGGGACCAGCAACGGGATCGCAACCCTTGGTGTTGCGCCCGCACCACGCTCAGCCAGTGAGCGGGAACCGGTCTCCATATGGGATCCGAACCCTCAGCGGGAGCGCTGTCGCGCTCCCAAGCGGCGCACTCTCCAGTGTGCCACCGGGCCGGCCCAAGCATAAAATTTCTAAAATGGTTTCTCGAGCGGAAAAAAGGGAAAGGTTTAACAATTAGAAAATGCTCAGGGTTCCCTGCAACACCTTTGGTTTGTAGGCATTTTTAG